GTGTGTACTACTTTGGACATTAGCCTTGGAAGAAGGAACAGCTTTTCCTCTTGTGACACCACACTGTATCTGCATTAGAATTTCTCCTATTGTGCATGAGCACCTCATAGGCCACAAAGATGCACTTTGAGAGCACCCTGAGATGAAGTATATTTTAAAAGGAGCAACAACCAACACCAGCACCAGCTCCATAGGAGCTGTCCAGTGTACATTGTTATCATCTCCTTGGGTCATGAGTGTTGATTTTTAGAACACAGTTTGGAAAGTAGTAATTTAGAATATTAATGTCTTTAATTTTACTTTTCGTTCTGTAAACATAACTAGCTTTTAAACAATTGTCTTGCTAATACACTAGCCTTTTTAGTTAATTCAATTGTCAGTAACTTTTACTTCAATTAAAAATGGCAAGTTTACACTCATAATAATGTCACTTTCCTCTCTCCCTTTTAACAATAGTTGAGAGGAAATTATGTTTCAGCAAAAACTGGACTCAAACTCTGTCCATTAAGTCCTGAGCTTTGGGACCTATTGAGTAATCACTAAATGTCTGTAGTCAGCCAAGTCTCTTAAATCTTTGAACACACATACACCAAAACTACTTTGACTAGAGTCCCTGGCTTCTTTTGAGTTCAAAAGATTCTGATGTGTTAGCATACAATTCAAAAGTAGCTTTGGAGATTAATCTTGCTCAAACAAATTTCATGCTTTTTTTCTCATTATTCTACTTTGTAGAAGTCTACTTTTGAAAGTAAAGTCAGTTTTAATTTGCCGTCAGCAAGTTTGAGAAATAATCATTTGGTATATTCACTATTGGTGAAATAAAGGCTATTGAGCAAATTAATAGGGCAAATTGGCTTCAAGAAAAGATTTTGAAAAATGTTTATCACAAGTCAGTAGTGCAGTGTTGTCAGTGGGGTGGGTGGAACTCACTGAGATCACTTATGCAAGGTTTTTTTTTTTTTTCAAAATACCATACATCATGAGAATATACTACAGAGAACTAAAGAGAAAGGAAGCTCGGAAATCTGAATCACGTTTACATTTATTAAAGTTCATCACTACTGCTTTGTAAAACATTCTTGTGTTTCAGTGTGTGATTAGAAGAGTGAAAATATATTTGGTTTATTGCCATTGCCTGTTAGGGAGAGTCAATACTTATGGGCATTTCTGATTTGTTATATAAAACACTTCACAGTACAGGACATGAAGTGCTGATAAAGAAGAAGTCAGGAAATCCTCTGCAAGTCAAGATCCAGGAGGAGAATTCATAAAAACTGCTTTGGTAAACACCAAAGCACACAGGAGGCAGTATTTTACTAAACAGATATTATACTAAGATATTAACAGTTTTTGAAGTAATGCACATTCCTATTTTATAGAGATGCAGATGGATCTTTGACCTTATTTGATGAACAGTTATACTCATTTACTGTAAGTAGCGCTTTCACTGAGGTTGTATTTTCATCATACACTTGTATCTGTTTCATGCTGAAGCCGAAGTCATCTTTTTAAAAATCTTTCCCATTTCATGTTGCATTTAGTCATCTTAAGTGTTGTAAAAAGAATATGCTGGAATAAGAATGGATCTGCAACTCTGTTTAGTTAGTTAGCTATTATGAGTAAATATGCTATCCAAAACAGAAAATGTATATATATATATTTTTTCTGAGGTGGAGTCTCTTTCTGTAGCTAGGCTGGAGTGCAATCGTGCAATCTCAGCTCACTGCAGACTCTGCCTCCCAGGTCCCTGTTCAAGCAATTCTCCTGCCTCAGCCTCCCAAGTAGCTGGGATTACAGGCATATGCCACTGTGCCCAGCTAATGTTTTTTTTCTTTTTTAAGGAAAGGCAGGGTTTCACCATGTTGGCCAGGATGGTCGTGAACTCCTGACCTCGTGATCCACCCGCCTCGGCCTCCCAAAGTGCTGGGATTACAGGTGTGAGCCACCGTACCTGGCCCAGAAAATGTATCTTTTTAAAAGGTAACTGTGAGCTGTCTACAGGACCCTGCAACTCACTACCCAATTTTCGAAGCCATTCCTCCTTCTGTTCCACACAGGTTTCCACCATACACATTACCCAGATGAGAAATGGAGGTGGGAGTTTTAGTAACTATTCCTCCTCCATTCCATCGACTCCCAGCACCAGCCAGGAGGACCTTCAGATCAATGTTCCTCCCACTGCCAACACACCCACGCCTGTTCGCAAGCAGTCCAAGCACTGGTCCAAACTGTTTACATCTAAGAAAGGGAGTG